ATGAAAGTGGCCACTTTCTCATTACCTTCATATATTGTTTTAATAAGTATCCAAAACATACAAATTTCATTTATATAATTTTTCAAGGGATCTTATATCTGTTTTCACTCTTGTATGCTTTTCATACAAGTTTCACACAAGACAGATACAAACTTTATAAGATTTATATATATCTCTTCCATATGGGTTAATACAGTACTATACTCTGCTGAGGGCCACAGACGAGCCTCAAAAGTGCCTACAGCATAGGCTTGTGGTGAAAAAGGAGTACATTAGCTCCTCAAACTACTTATATAATTATAGAATTATATTAATTTATGTAAATTAAATAGCATACCATATTTATTGCAGTCGATTAATTTGAGCTGTTGCTCACCACCGACTACTCATCTCTTGCGTACAAATGTGCATTTCTGCAGAATTTGAAGAAATTCTTTTAACTTTTCAAGCAATATTGTGTTTAAGAGAATAGGATGAAGGTCACACTGACCTTGACCACCAAAATTTTTTCGGTTCATCGCTAAGTACAAGTGTTTGTGACATGACTGAAAAATATTCCCTGAAGAGATGCCACGTCGGCTACCAACTCCAGCTACGGGCGTCATTCGTACTGAGGCGTTACAATAACAATAACTTGACTGCACACTTCACTGAAGGTCTCTCATAAGAAGATACAAAAAACTGAAACTCTGTGAATAAAGACCAACTGTGTAATCATTGGGAATGGAATAACAGGGAACCAGGCTGCAATTTTGAGTCATAAAGGCCAGCTCTATGTTTGTTGGTGCATTTCTCAGTTTCCCTTTTTGAATGAAAAGCAAAAAAATATATAAAATGTTGGCAATTGAACATTTTGTTAACATTTGTTTAATGCTGTGGGGTTAAGCCGCACTGCATTTCCTCTACCAGACTAGAAAGCATCGCAAGAGTTTATTCTTTCCAAGAAAACAAAATCAGGACGGAAAAGATATCAGCTGAATTGTCCACGGATAAGAAACAGCTTATGATTGCTATCTATGTGTACACAACAGCATGAAAGAGAAAACAATGTCGCATGTCTCTGGTGGTGTTGTTGCACAGCATGTTTGGTCTTACCTGCTCTACTTTTAGAAATGCTGTCTGTCATCTGTGCGTGTCTGCTCTGCTATTTGATCCCTCCTTTACACAATGGAGATGTCGCAAACTTGGATGCTCAAATGCAAAACCGTGCTCCTCCCCTCAGGAAGGTCTTGTGTCTCTACACGGTGCCACTGACTTGCTAAACTCAACATGTGTTTTGTTGACATAATTACAGTATCACAGCACTATGTAATGCCTGCAAGTGTGCTGCAAGTTTGCCCTCCCATCTTAACTCAAAGCTCAAACACACCGCCCATTCTGTCAAGCCAACCCCTGAGTCAATAGAACATCCTGTCAGAGTGAATACCGCCTGCCAGCCTGTCAGGCAGCCCCACCAAAAGCCCAATGGGGGGGAGAGTTATAGCCTCCGATCTGGAATGATCCTCTGGGTCTTCAGAGGTCAGAAAAGACAAAGCCATAGCTCCTTTGTGCAGGAAGCTGCTACTGTCGACTTCCAAGAAGTGCCAGATGTGACGGTGGAAAAACTGAATATTGAACACAACTGATGTTCTGATTTTTTCATTTATCTATTTTTTTTTTTTTTTTTTTGGGGGGGGGGGCAAGAGGATGGTTCAACTGCACTCAAGTCTGCACTTGAGTATAATTGATTAGGACTGAAAGAGTAGCTCTAAAGCACACTGCAGTCACAGTATTACATCAACAGACACCTGTGTGCACTCATTAAGTATTGTTGTGTCTTGGCTGTTTTTTTCCTCTGTGTAAGATCCAACAGTGGAAAGCCAGATTAATCTTGTCTGTAGTGAAGATGAGAAAGAAACCAGCTTTACTTCTGAGTTCTGACACTTTGTATCACAGCAGGAATCATGTACTTATTCACCACCAGAAGGTAGCTTCAGAAATCTTTTTTTGTTTTTTAATCCAGATTCATGATACAATATTAGAATTGAATGCTATATATGTGGCCTGATACTAACTTTATTCATTACAATTCTTGTCAGTTGTTAGTTCATGATGTACAGCCAACCCAAATAAGAGGAAATCTCAAAGTAGTTTGAAAACAAAACCACTGGCAGAAAAGTGAATGATGCTGGCAGAGCTGGAGTGCCCCAGACTAAAGGTATCATTAGCTATCAAAGATTGCAGCACATAGGGTCAGCAGATGGCAGGTATTGCTTGGTCTGAGTCTTAAAGGTGGTTCTGTCTGCTCTAAAGCTACATGAACACGTTTCTGTTGTTTCCCTATTAGAAGTGACCTGTCTAGGGTCAGATAAAGCACCGTCTCAAATGAATCCCCACGACCCCTGATGCTGCTTATCACGAGTAGGTGGCAGAGGCACTCGGTCAATAACAATTGTTGGTCCTGTTTGTTACAGATGCAATGATATGATATATACTATTATATGCATATTGCCGGTCCATCCAGTGTTTACAACCCTGCATCGGCAAAGAGATATATGCTACCGCTGGCCTAAATTAGCTGCATTGCTAATTGCTTTGTTTGTGTAAAGGTTAATCCATCTGTAAGTTATTTATTTACAGTTGTATTTTTAATGCTGAAATATAATTATTGTTGTTATCTATTAATTTTCAGATTTACAGTTCTATAACAAAAAAAAAAGAAAAGCAGAAAAAATAGTAAAGCACAGCATTATTTTTTGATTAAGATGCCAAATTATTGAGTTATTTACTTGCATTCCTGAACACAAACATTGGTTTCAGTGGTTGAATGTTATTAATTTCTGACTTCTCAGAGAAGTCCAGTGTGCCAGCTTAAATTTGGGTATTAAAACGTCAATTTGTTTTTTTGCCTGACAAATTAAAACAATTTGAAGTTTTAAACACATTTTTGTCAGTTTTTGTGACAAGTGGTCTCATAAAGTTAAGCCAACGAAAAACCATCAAAGGAATATTGTTCCTATGTGTCATACTTATAAGCTTAATTAGCTCAATTCCATATTTAGTATATGCCTGCTATAAACAATCATGAAAGTATGAAGTCAACTTCAATAAATAAATAATCTAATAAATACACTATGTGCTGCTCTTTGAGAAACATTTGCCAAAAATGTAACTTAAAAAAATACATAACTGTGACCTGATCTTTTGAAATAGCACTGAGATGGACTGGAATATTGCTGGTATTTCTCTTTTTATAGTGGCAGTAAAAAAAAAAAATAGTGAAGGTCATTGTTAGAGGTGTATTAATTAAAAAAAAAACAGTTTTCATCAGCAGTAGATCTGAGACGTTGCGGGCAAGGACTCACCTGTCTTCGCAGGTCCCTGGTCTTTTTGGTCATTTTGTCAATGGCTGAGTTCAGTGGGTCACCTTTCTCTTTTCTGCCAGTCTGTAAAAACAAAAACAAAAAAAGTAGAAACAGGTTAGTGGAGTTCCAGTGCACAATATAATACATCTTACAGTTCAGGTGAGTTTTTCAGTTCTTTCTCACTTTTTTGGTATATTCAGTGCAGATTGTAAATACTGAAAACACGCTTCCCCACAAAATCATTTGCCAACATTACAAGAGGTCATTAATCTGAGCGGAGTCAGTGAAAACAGATCAGAAAATGTGTGTAATGTCACCAGCAACTAGCCTATCTGGCATGTATTACTTTAGTTGTTGCCAATGCCCCTGTGCGCTGCACTTCCTGTCAGTGCCAACTCCTACTGCTGGCTTTAGGAGGGTGTAGACTTCACCTGATACACGCAGAGTCACAAGCTGCTTCATTTCACCTGACTGTGGGGAGTTTCACTGAACAAGCAGTGCAGAGCTTCTTGCTGTTTTAGACTTCCGTGCTTTCCAGTAACAAGCATACCAATCAACTAGTTAAAGTTGCTAAGCTACTATGACTCAATATGCCAACTGTGTTCACCGAAAAGCGTGGTTAAGCAAGCCGCTCCACCTTCAGTTAAATGTCACTGCTTGTTCATTTAGAGCATTAACTGTTTTTGCTTAGAAATTTTTATGTAAATGCATACAGCGAATGTCCAGTTTTTCTCTCCGATTCTCAATGGCAGCTTGGTTTGGAAGTTATTATGATTAAAATAAATAAAGGTTATTGTTTATTAAAAATATGCACTCAACAGGTGTCACTATAAGAATAAGAAACAAACTTATTCCAAGTAACAATTAGGAAATGGAGAAAAACATAAATGTTCCTTAAAAGTGAAGAATTTCGTGTTTTTAATACCTTTCAATCAGCTATTATGTGGAGTCAAAAGCCATCACTCTTTAAACTAAAAGAACAAATATTCATTCATGGTAATTACTATGCCCCTTTATTTTGACAACTGACAAATGAGAAAAAAAATGTGTCTCATCTCGCGTTTGAAACCTGTCCTGTTGTTTACTGAATGGTGTGATTCATGCTGTATGCAAACAAGTTAACAGGAGAAAAACAAAACAAAGCCAAATTTCTTTGTAGAAAACCTTCACACGGCTTTATTCACATTTTTTTGTCAAGTTATTAAAAAAAAGAGGGGTTAGCAGGATGATCAACAGATTGTAAGACATAGTCATCTTCTGTCAAAGCAACACCAGCGTAAAATATTATTTGTATTGTTGCCAGGCAACCATCTGACAGTTCTGCCCAGCATCAAGGCCCAAATTATCCTTGAAGGAAAACGTACGCATGATCACAGGAAGTTCAATTCATTTATGTCTGCTTTATAAGAGGATTTTGGAAAAAACACTGACCACTCCAGTACAAAATGAGTCAAATAAAAAAGGGCTACTTTGATTGTACTGCTCCACGAGACTGCCTCCTTATCTCAGCATTGCTTTTTTTTTTGCATTTTTGATAACTAAGTGGAGCATAATGCCACCCATCGACAAATAAACATGTAATGAATTAAAGGAAAACCTGAACCCTTGGATCTTGCAGTGCCGGGGACCCAGTGGTTCTATTATGCTGTGGAGGGTATTTTCTCAGTCTGAGTCCTTTATTTCATGATGAAACAGTTTGATTCGGATGGGAGTGGTCTCTTCAAGGATGACAATGCCTCTTCCATAGGGCGCTGGGGCTGGGGTAGAGAGGTGGTCACTTAATGGTTTGATGTGACTTGTAGGCTTTAAAATCACCAGATCGCAACTCAATTTTGAAACAAAGTATCAGTTAACTGGAAGCTATTTGCATCAATGTGGTGACCAGAGACCACAGACAGTGAATGACACTCAGACTTTAAGCATCTAGGCAACTGGTGTGTGGAATATTGACAAGCAACCAACTTCAAGGGAATGTGCAACGTGCAAATGAATGTGCGACCAATTGTGCAAGTCTCAAGTCTGTCAACTTGAAGGCCTCTTAAAGGCAACAGAAAGCTTTCCAGCACTTCAGGTGTAGGCAGCAGATTTCTAAGCCAAGATTTTAGTTTCTACCTGCTGGTTTATAGTTTACAGAAAGATAAATTTGAAAAATACTGGTGGCCACCAGTGCTCAGGTCCTTAGTCTCCTAATAGAGGAACACTTGGCATGCTGAGGTCAAGGTCACTGAAATTCAAACTGAGACTGTAAGTAGATGCATCTATGGTTTGATTTTTAAAATCCTATGTTGTCTCATTCTCATTACATATTTTAAAAAACTGCAAACCTCTGGTACAATTTGTCCTGTCCCATGTCTACAAATTCTAAATCTACATATATAGAATCTATTTTTCTAGAGAGACTTTAATTCAAGAGGTTTATAGAATCAATGCAAACAGCACTGAAGCTGTTCGGGTGGCTAATAGTAGCTCAGACACTTACTAAGATAACTTGACTTTAGTATTCTCTTTACTGTGTCAACTCAGCGTTTATATCCAGGGAAGTAAATAACCTCACATCAGACACTCACCCCACGATAAACTGCTCTCAACGTAAACACTGATTCTTACTTTCAGTGGCTATCAGGTTATAAAATTATAGTTTAGTTAAAACACGGCCACCTTTGCTGAACAACAGAGGATCCGAAAAAAGACTGATATTATGAACCTATGCACTGGAAGCAAAACGGGGCAGTACACGAGCTCTGGTAGCTATTTTATTGTAGTTATGTTACATTTGTAGTGAGCAGGCACCATGCGCTGGAAGTTAAAAGCAACTTGTGCGACAAAAATTCTTTTCTCCAGCCTCACAGAAGACTTGACATTCAGGAATATGCCAATTTGAAGACAAACAACCATGATCATGTAGTGTTTTCTTTTTGGGATTTGTCAGACTCCAAGTTCAACATGTATTTTCGTTGTGGGCATGTGCTATGGAGAGTTCACATATCTGTGAGCCAACTGATGTGTTTATAGCCAAAAAAAGTCTGTCTAATCTATCACCACCCTGCTCTTAGCCAAAGCTGATATAACAAAAAGGTTTTTCTTCATATAGATGTTAAGCTTAAAAAAAAGTAATTTATGTCCAAGCTTAGACTATAGTTAGTCTCTTTCTTATCAAACAGCAATCACACAATGCTGCATTTGGAGTTTTTTGCAGTGCAATATCTGAAACTGACAAGAAGCAAACTGCCACATATAATTTTAACATCATGTTTGAGATTCACTTCTATCTTAAAAAACAAATCTGCCTGGCTCTAACCTGGCTATGTGACGTGCTTGCAAATATTGCTTTGAAAATGGCTTTTAACCAGTTTTCTGATTGACATAAGGGGAGGGGAGGAAATGAAGACAGCACAGAGTTTCGTTCTATTACTAGACCCTTACACGTGCCCTCACATTTTCATGTTAATGTACAGAGAAGAGGACACGACAGCATTAGTCATTGTTTTGCCTGAAGAGCCTAATGTGTCATTAAGGCTCCAGAGGGACGTGCAGGATTATAAACGCACACCATCAAAAATAAGAAGGCGTTTAACTGGAGCCTTTCTAAGGACACTTCAAAAATATTTGTATTATAATACATTAACTGACAAACTGAAGTGAAAGAGAAACATCATCATGGTGCAAATACTGTAAACGCCCTCGCTAAACAGTCATCTGATGAACAGGCACACTGATAAACCAAACCATGTTATTTACTAGAACTGGAAATCTCAGATGTTTCATTGCTCAGATCTCTGAACTGTTTAATCTGAGTAAAGAAGATTGAAACAGAACAGTGATGTCAGGTAAAGGGACGAAAATCTAAACGCGCATATTTGAGCTCTTACTGACAGCTCAGCAGCAGCAGAGTATTTTCTTAAGGCTCCTACAGCGTTTTGTGTGATCTTGAATCTTCAAGACGGATGCAGCAACGACACTTTTGACAACTACAATAAGTGAAAAAGACCATTACTGAAAATATGCGTCCCTTATCCTTTAATTACTCTTCCGCTTTAATATGTCAAAGCTTCCTCAACTTGAGATGAAAAATTTATTGCTCATGTTGGGTTTTCTGAAAACCATAAAACACCCAATTAAAAACACTACGCATGAATTCCCCATCACAAACTTTATATACAAGGCGGTCCCGCGATGATGACTCATAGGTTAGCCGATGTGTTCGGCTCATACTCAGCTCAGCTCAGTCAAAACTGCGACCTTTGCTATGTGCGTGCATACGAGTGTTTAAAACCGCCTGAGTCACAATATGGGATTTATGTATCTACAGTGTTTATCTGAAAATCTATTTGACTTTCCTCCATTCTCGCCCAGGTGTGCCCTGTAGTGTAGGCAACGGTGCACTGCGATTCACGGCCATTAAAAGCTTGACAACACATTTGGGTGTTGATAGCAATAGCCAATATAGCAACATTGATTGCTTAGTTTTTGACCGCCACATAATGAAATATGCATGTTTGGTTTTCTGGTAAACACAATTCCCCATGGTGCTTTGGCAACAATGTTCCCAACTGTCCCCCATCCATTATTCTGCACCCCCTGGTGTGCACTCCTTCATTCTCTGTTGGTGAGAGGAGGACAGACTGAGGCTGCCTGAAAATAAGCATCTAGTGTATGTGGGGTAGTGGAGGCAGAGCAAGTGGAGTTATTCTTTCCAGCTCCAGAAGATATGGTTATATGTTCTGGTGGAAAGGCTGAGAGCTGCAAGCATGTTCACTCTTGCTGGCTTTTTCGCAGTAAGTGTGTAATTGAGTAGTGCAGTGCACCACAAATGTTTCAGCGCACTGCCTGACCTTCAACGCTGTTACAAAGGAATAAGACATATATGGTAGCAAGAAAAAGCTTTTTTTCTAATCTCCGCTGAATTCTTATAAAATGTGGACTGATCATACTCAGTCAAGCACAGTGTTACTAAACATCATAACACACACACAGCTGTGCTCTAATGCCTTTATTAAACACACTGGATTAGAAACTCATAGCACGTCCTTTCGCCACAGTTTTCCTCTTTCACTATAAAACTCGTTCACATTTCTGACATG